GTCTCTTTGAGACAGGGTCTCCCTGTAGCCACAGCTGTCCTGGAACACACTATGTAGACCAGGCTGACCTTGAACTCACAGAGATCCACCTGCCCCTGCCTCCCAAGTGCTGGGATTAAAGGCGTGCACCACCACGCCTGGCTATACTGTATAATTTATCTACCACAGGCTGGCCTTGATCTCACAGAGATCCCCATGCCTCTGTTGGGATTAAAGGCATGTGCCACCACGCCTGGCTCCATAGTCTATTTTTTTTTTTTTTTGGTCTTTTTGAGACAGGGTCTCCCTGTAGCCCCAGCTGGCCTGGAACTGCTCTGTAGACCAGGCTGGCCTTGAACTCACAGAGATCCGCCTGCCTCTGCCTCCCGAGTGCTGGGATTAAAGGCGTGCGCCACCACGCCCGGCCCCCATATTCTATTTTTAATGGCTATGCAGTAGTTCCTTCTTTGTCTAAGGGACATACATTCTGAGACCCTTAGGGAATGCTGGAAACCACAGTTAATACATACATACATACATACATACATACATACATACATACGTATTCTACATAGCCTGGTTTACATAGCAAGTTCTAGTTCAGCTGTGGGAGAGACCCTGTTTCAAAAAAAACAAAGTAACAACAAAAACAAGTTAAACTGCAGAGTCTGAAGACTGAGGAAGATAAATGAGAGGGCTTGTAGTTAGGTATGAGATAACCAGACTAGACAGGTAAGAAGGCTAGGGCTCTGAGCCAGTGACAGCAGGCCAGCGGCTCCCCCCTTTTCTGAAGCCCTTGAGGAGCACATGTAATGCACTATTATCCTTGCATATATCCTTGATTCTAATTAACAGACTTAACTGTAAGGATGGGTGGCCACTAACAAGAAGCGTCCACTGAGACCACCCAGACCACCTCATAGATAAGGACCTAAATACAAGGCAACCAGAAAGGGCTGCAGCTGCATCTCAGTGCTGAAATAGAGTTCATTCCCAGTCATGGTAAAGCTACGGGCTGATCATGCAAAGGTGAAAACAAAGAGAGCTTAGTATAGTTAACAGCCAGTGAGACACCTGCAAGGTTGGAGGGTAGCAATGAGCATCAAGTGACTAACAGCTAGCAGTCAGCCGAGGTTAACACTGGAGTTAGAGATGGACAGGGGTCCTTCAACCACCGCTAAATGGGTGGCACATTATCATCTCCATAGTCGAACCAGGGAGACATGCGTAGAGTAGGTGGGGAGCATTATTCCTGCTTTGTAGATGAAGAAACTGAGCACAGAGATGCTCAGTATTAAGCGGTTGGCAATGCAATTATAAATTTAAAGGCAAATCTCTTTTACAATACTAGCAATATTATGTAGCTTATCAAAGTACACTTGAGTGGAAATAATAGTTCCAAAACCCAGTTTCTACATGTAATATCTGTATTTATAGTTTTTATTTTGTGCTAGTTATGCAAATAGCTAATTAGAAATAGAAAATCCAGGGTCAGTGAGATGGCTCAGCAGGTAAAGGTGGTGGCTGCTGTCTGAAAACCTGAATTTGATCCTTGAAATTCACATGGTGGAAGGAGAAAATGAACTCCTGCAGCTGTCCTCTGACCTCTACACATGTGCCGTGGCATGCTCCCCACCCAAATAAAGAAATGTAAAAACAATTTGTAAGATGATCTTTTTTGAAAAGAAAATCTAGTTTTAGCCATAAAATCTTATGTGTTTGAATCTTTAGAATGTTGCTGTATTCCAACACTTTAAAAGTCTGATTGATTTAAGGAGACAAGGGGAGCCTCGACAAATACTGAGACTTATCAATCCTAAAGAGGTAAGGATGTTACATATCGACACAGCATCTTGCATTTTCCTAGAATGTGTGGTTATGTATCATTTCAATGTGTCCATGTTAGCTTTTAAAAATCTTTCTATTGAAATATTATATGTTGGAAGCTCAGCAAGCATAAATATAAAGCTAAGTGAATCACCACAAACCAAACGTCACATAACCCTCACCCAGACCAATGTTGTCATACTCAAAGTCACCTTCTTTGGGTACCTGCAAGCCACTGCCAGCCCTCCCTTTCATAGTAAGGACCATTTGTTTTGAATCCTAATGCCCCAATTTTCTACTTTGGGACTATATATAAATAGAATCCTATAGCATGCTTTGGGGTACACATCTCTTCATACAACATCATTTTACAAAATGAAATAATTTATGGAGATGGCTATACAACATTATGAATGTATTTAACATCACTGAACCATATACTTTAAAAATGGGTAAGATGAGCCAGGTGTGGTGGCACATGCCTTTAATCCCAGCACTCAGGAGGCAGAGGCAGGTGGATTGTTGTGAGTTCAAGGCCAGCCTGGTCTACATAGTGAGTTCAGGTCAGCTGGGACTGCAGGGAGACCCTGTCTCAAAAAGACAAAAAAAAAATGGGTAAGATGGTAAATTTCATGTGCATTTTGTCACAATTGGGGAGAAAAGATTTAGTAAAAAGCTTTCACTGATGCCTTTATGACAAACGCAATAACGTACGTATATATTAGTTTCTGAGTGTCATCTCTCTTCCACTGGTCTATGTATTTACTGTGATCTTTAGTACAGCTTTAACCTAAGCAGTAAGTCTGTTATATGGTTGAGAATTTCTCCAATCTCAAAAATCTTCAAGAAAATACTTCTAGGTTATTCTTGGATGCCTTGTATTTCTACATAAACTTCATACTTATCTTGTCAATTTCAAACTCCTCCCCCTAAAACCTTTGTTGAGAGGGTTGAAGATTGGAGGGTGAGGAACTCATAGAAAAGCTGTCAGAGTCAACATCATAAGGACTTTGGGTTTCCAATATAAGCAGTCACATCATCCTCCAACACTGAGCTACGATTTCTGCTTTGTAAACATCAAACATCTTAGTTCTTTTCCTTGTGTTTCTGCACTGGCTGGAGCCATCAGTAATGGGATAGAACTGAAAATCACTGTCTCATTCACCTCAGTCCACCCCAGAGAGCCAGGCTCAGCATATTTCACTGCTGAAGAAGAGATGTGCTACTCTGTTTCCCCCACCCCCTTTCGTGGAAACCTGTAATCTCATTAAGAAGGTTCCCTTCATGTCTGTTGAACTAAAATAATTTCTAAATCCAATAGCTGTTGGCTTAATATTTTCTACTTCTGTTGACTTTATTTTTCTTCTGATTCTTTTGTTTTGAATATGACATCTAATTAGCTTTCCTGCAGTACACACATTCTGGTTTTTATCCTCTTAACAAAAATCATTTCTGAAGGGAATATGGACTATAGAAATAGGGTGCTCTGGTAACAGGTAAATTTCTGTTTAAATATACTTATTAACATTTCAAAGCACTAATGTCTTATGAGGTGTATGACTCAAAAGTGTGTAACAGTAATACCACAAAGGAGAGGGGAATAAATGACATTATATTGTTTTTTTCATTATGTAGAAATGGGAAGAAGTACTAACTTAAGGTAGACTGTAATAAGTCGGGGATGTATATTGCAAACCCTAAGATAAATACTAAAAGGGCTATACCAGACAGTACTGCTTCAAAGCTGGTAGATAAGAATATATGGAATATTAACACCTACTTGAGACTTCCCAAAGAAATGCAGGAAAAGTGAAGTGATGCAGTAAATCACTGACGGGGGAAGAAATAAAAGCAAGATGGCGGACGTGAGGCTACAATAAAAAATAACTGTTAGTGTGGGGGCTGGAGAGATGGCTCAGTGGTTAAGAGCACTTGCTGCTTTTGCAGGGAATCTGGGTTCAGTTCCCAGCACCCATTTGGCAGCTCACAACTGTCTGTAACTCTACTTCTAGAGGATTCGCTATCCTTGTTACACATACAGTACGCATATAGACAACAGGCATACACACATATACACACATTTAAATACATACATTTAAAAAATAACTCTGGTTCAGCAATTAAAAGTCCTTGTGCAGCCAGGCGTGGTGGTGCACGCCTTTAATCCCAGCACTTGGGAGACAGAGGCAGGCAGATCTCTGAGCCTGGTCTACATAGTGAGTTCGAGGCCAGCTGGGGCTACAAGGAGACCCTGTCTCAAAAAAAAAACAAACAAACAAACAAACAAAAAAAAAAACCCTTGGTGCTTTAGTAAAGGATCCAAGTTCAGTTCTCAGAATGTAGAGGGGGCTCAGAGCCTACTGTAACTCTAACTCCAGGGAATCCAAAGCCTCTGACCTCTGCAAACCCCTGAACTCGCACGCACACACACACACACACAATTTTTTAAAATATTTTATTTATTATTTTTATTTTATGTGTATGAGTGTATTGCCTGCATGTATGTGAGTGCACCTGTGTTGTGCAATGCTGTAGAGGTCAGAAGAGGGACACGGATTCCCCTGGAACTGGAGTTAAGGACAGTTCATAGCCGCCATGTGGTGCTGGGAATCAAACCTGGGTCCTCTGCATGAGCAATCAGTGCTCTTAACCACTGAGCCATCTCTCCAGCCCCCTAAGCAATTATTTTTTAATTATTTTATTTTCTGTGTATGAGTGCTTTGCCTGCATGTATGTCAGTGCACTTGTGTGTGTAATGCATGTGGAGGCCAGAAGAGGGCATCAGATCTTCTGGAACTGGAGTTAGGATGGTTGTTATCTGCCGTGTGGGTGCTGGGAACCAAACCTGGGTCCTCTGCAAGAGCAGACAGTGCTTTTAACCACTGAGCCATCTCTCCAGCCCCCCAGCAGTTACTTTTAAATAGAGAAGTAGTGACGTGGTACATAAGGAATGCTGAAGAGTAATGCAATTTCTTACAGGCAGAGCTTCTAGATGCTGCTGCTGGCATTCAAGTCCGATTCAGATTGGGTGGGGTGAGTATGCATGGCTCCTTGTTTGGTAGTTTTAAAGCATATTTACCTGAGGTTCAAAATGAAGAATGTTTAAAATGTGACCCATTTCTGTTACTGCGTTACAACAGTGACCTTTTCTACCTACAGGTTAAATTTCCACCTGAGATATACTATAAAATTTTTACTCACAGACACATTGAAGACTTGTGTGCTAACAGCCCTAGAGATTACACAAAACTTCCCTCAAAGCATACATCCCATAATAAAGATGATCTGCCTCAGGAAGAGGATCGCAGTGGCTGGTATCGGCGAGTAGAAAACAATGGCTGGAGGCCTGTTTCCCACAGAGTAAGAAAAGGGAAACATCAGTAATTCCTCATATTATAAACTTAGAAACCCAGCAGTCTTTTGAAAAATTTTATCTTAAATTCCTAAAATAACTGCTAGTAATTTAATGGATAAGATTGGCATATGTTATCTATCCTAGGACCATTAATTTTAAGGGTAGCAACGTATTAGGATTTAATTTTAATTCATCATTTTGTGTCTGTGAGTATGGGTGTGCACATGCTGTGGAATGCATGGGAAGTCAGAGGACTTTTAAGGGTGAGTTCTTTCCTTCCACCATGGGTTCTAGGGACTGAACTGAGGTTGTCGGGCTTACGTGGCAAGTGTTTTTACGGGCTGAGTCATCTCACTGGCCCTCTTACATTTATTTTTAACAATCAGGTTTGAAACTAGACCATCTTTAGATGATTTCTGGTACTCCACAGATTATATACCCAATATGCTGATTATTAGATGTGGTGTACTTATATACTAAATATGATATGTTAAAAATGATGGTGTGATTCATTCATTCAACAAACTTTACTGTGTACCAATCCTGTACTAGACATGGTTCCAGATGCTAAGGATGAGTAGTAAAAAAAAGACGTGGTTTCTCCTCTCACAGAGAGGGCCTTTAATTAGAGACAGACAAGTAAGCAGGGTACTTCATACAGAGGACTACGTTAAGTGGTTAATTGGCAGCATTGGAAGAGGCAGCAAACTTCTTATCATCTAGCATTTGTATCATGGGACAAGGGTAGTGGTAAAGCACACAGCCAGGTAGGAGAACATCTCATGCAAACATCTCATGCAAAGAAGCCACAGTCTTGGCACATAATAGAGGTACTTCTCTTTTTCTGATCTGAGTGAACATAACCCCTGTGGATTAGGGCCATCAAAAGCTCGCAGTACTGAGAGTAGGTTAGATCTCTTCCTATGAGAATGTGGCACAGACACTCTTAGATTAGGTTTACTGTTCATTCATTCTCTAAGTACTTACTAAATGCACAGTACACAAGGACTTTGTCAGTATGTGCTTCTAAAATCTCAGTGAATTGACCATCACTTAATTAGAACCCTCTTGAGAAGGTCTATCCTCTCTTCTATTCCTGTCTTGGCATGTTTTATCAATACACTGACGTTCTTGTCTGTAACTAGGTAATTTCACGAATCAATATTCCGACACTGTGCATCTTAACCTTCATTTCTCCATAGTTTTGGATACCAGCTGGAAATGAAGTGTTGGAAAGCACAAAGGAAAGTGAATTTCATTTCTCTAAACTGAAGAGAAAGCAAGACTTGGAAAAGAAGAGAAAAATTAAAAAAATAGAATGGATGAGGCAAATGTAAGTAGATGAAATATTTAGTCTTACTGAAGAAGTATCTAGTGTTTTTAGGAAACATACAAATTTGGAGAATGTATCTGTGATGGTTTAAATGAAAATGTCCCCCATAGGCTCCAAGTATTTGGACATTTTGTCCCCAGATGATGGTGCCGTTTTGGGACATTTTAGAAGGTGTGGCTATCCTGGAGGAAGCACGTCACTGGGGGTGGGCTTAGAGAGTTCCTAAGCCTTGCCATATCTCCAGTTGCTTTCTTGCTTCTGTGCCTGTGTGATGATGTGAGAGCTTAGCTTCTGCTGTTCCTGCTCCAGCCACCTCCAGCCACCATGCCATGACAGACTGTAATTCCCCTGGAACCGTAAGCTCAAATAAACTCTTCCTTCTATAAACTGCTTGGGTCAGTGTTTCTATCACAGCAACAGAAAAGTGACTAATACAGTATCCCACTGACTTTTAAGATTTATAAAGCTATGGTAATCACAACATTGTAAACTGGTATTTCAGCAGGCCGAAACAGACCACAGAACTGAGGAGACCCATACATACACTGTTATTTGATTCTTAACAAATTTACATAAGAAATTTATTCTGGAAAAAGACACTTTCCAACAAATTGGATGTTAAAACACAGAAAAATGAACCTTGACTATTATACATAAAATTAAATAAGATCATATGTCTAAATATAAGAAAAGCCTCTGCAATAGGATGAGTTCTTTGGGTATATGTCAAGGAGCGCTATAACTGGGTCAAATGGTAGGTTTCTTTGTAGTGTCTTAAGAGTTCTCCAGACTGATTTTTATAGGGGTTGAACAAGTTTGCAATCCCACCAGCAGTGGATGAATGTTCCCCTTTCCCCACATCCTCTCCAACATTTGGTATCATTTGTTCTCTTGATTTTAGCCAGTCTGACTGGAGTAAGATGAAATCTTAAAGTGGTTTTAATTTGCATTTCCCTAATTCCTAGTGATGTTGAACATCTTTTAAAATGTTTCTTAGCCATTTTTATTTCTTCTTTTGAGAATTCTCTGTTCAGTTCATTAGTCCATCTTTTAATTGGTTTACTTTCTTGATTCTTTATTTCTTGATTCATTATATATTCTAGATGTTAAACCTCTGTCAGATGTGTTGCTGGTGAAGATTTTTTCCCATTCTGTGGGTTGTCTCTTCACTTCCTTGGTTGCTTCTTTTGATGTACAGAAGGTTTTTAGTTTAATGAGGTCCCATTTGTTGATTCTTGACCTTGTTTCCTGGGCAGTTGATGTCCGGTTTAGAAAATCCTTTTCTACACCTATATCTTGTAGGTTATTGCCAATGTTTTCTTCTAATAGTTTCAGAGTTTCAGGCTTCACATTGAGGTCTTTGATCCATTTGGAGTTGACTTTTGTGCAAGGTGAAAGATAGGAGTTTAGTTTCATTTTTCTACAGGTGGAGATCCAGTTATGCCAGCACCATTTGCTGAACATGCTGTCCTTCCTCCAGTGAATGTTCTTGGCCCCTTTGTCAATTATCAATCAGGTGGCTGAAACTGAATCTACTCAGATTTGGGTCTTCAATTCTGTTCCATTGATCTATGGGTCTATACTTGTATCAGTACCATGTTGTTTTTATGACTATAGCTCTGGCCAATAACTCAAAGGAAGTTATCTCCTGTCTGGCATTGTTTCTTGTTATATAGCCTTTAGCTATACATATGGACTCTTAAAAATTATATTGACCCCATTAATCTTTGGTTATACTTTCCTTTTGGGTGTTTAAGACCCTACAGTTGGCCCAGATAAATCAATTTATTTTTACTCTTAAGGTTGTTTGAGGATTTGTTCCTCAGGGGTAACATGGGCTTGGGAGGAGCCCCTGGCTCCTTTCTTTTACCAGTTCTGCCTATGTGAAGGTAAGTCAAAGGTCCTGCTCAACCATGTCTGGCTTCACTTGGAAGGATGGAGGAAGTGTTTCCTCTGTGTTAACTCTCCTCTTTGTAGACTGGACACTGGTTCAGGTCCATCTGGTGGGGTCTCCATGGCCTCCCTGATCAAGAGGACAGGTGACTCACCACAATTACAGGA